GGTATTAGGCAACTGTTTGCACTTACCCAGCCGATCCACAACCCACAACCGTACTTTATCGTAGTACAGAGGCTTGTGGATGTGGTCCGCACAAATTCCGTTTGAACCGTTTCTCACACCCTGTCTCGAATGCCACTAGTAGCTAGCCAACTCTGGGCATCTCCAACTCTCATGTCACACCCGGGGAAATCTTTTGCAAATTAAGAGTCCTTTTCGCCATTGTGGGACCGACGAGACCGACAGATGGAACGTGCTGAAAGGGGTCGTTGTTTACGTGGAAGGAAGTACGGGCCGGTAAATTGTGAGAACGACTGTTATAGTCGATTAAGGTTCAGCCACAGTGGTGAGGAGTGGCAACCGACAACAAACTTGGTCTGCAAACTGGCCAACACCCCACTCATTCTCAAGAACAAGGTCAGCTAGCATCGGTCTTCCCTGATTTCTCTCTCTTCAGCACTCACTAAATCCAAAAGACACGACGATGGTCAATCTTCGCTCACAAAAGCGGCTTGCCGCATCAGTCGCTGGCGTTGGCCAGCGTAAAATCTGGTGTGATCCTAACGAACAGTCAGAGATCGGCAATGCCAACTCGCGGACGCACGTAAAGAAACTAATCAAGGATGGTCGTATTATAATCAAGCCCACAACCGTCCACTCTCGTGCTCGCACCCTCGACCTCCTTGCTGCTAAGCGCAAGGGTCGTCACACTGGCATGGGAAAGCGGAAAGGTACCGCAGAGGCTCGTATGCCAACCAAAGTCCTTTGGATGAGGCGACAGCGTGTTCTCCGGAGGCTACTCCGAAAATATCGTGAGGCAGGGAAGATTGATAAACACCTGTTCGTCCTACTTTCTCTCACTTGAGTGTTCACCCGATCTTATGGCTGTCCCGTTATCCAAGCTATCACACCCTCTACCAGAAGTCCAAGGGTAATGTCTTTAAGAACAAGCGTGTATTGATGGAATATATCCACAAGGCAAAGGCGGAGAAGTCCCGTACAAAGGTACTCTCCGACCAGATGGAAGCCCGACGTATCAAGAACAAGGTGCGACCATCTCTCGTTCTCCCTTTCTCCCACTTTCATTGATGTCGCATTTTTACCACAGGCAATCCGTGAACGTCGTGCTGCGCGTATTGCAGAGAAGAGGGAAGCCATTCTAGCAGTGGAGCATGAAGGGGCCAAAGCATGAGATATTATTTGGGTCCTGTCTTCTTTACCTGCTCTCACATCACTTTACGCCACGCTATACTGCATACATGCCACCATGAATTCACTTAGGCCACTTCCATGCTTTCATATATATGATGACATGGGATGTCTAGTGTGTAGCATTATTATTAGCCAGTCATCTCAACGTGGGATGTTGTTGTACGGGCGTCATCAGATGGGGTTGGTACCGACTCACTACCACCATCATGTGTCCTGCTGTGATGCACAATGTCTCCAAAAATGGTGTCGACCGTATGTAAATCTCATCAATTACTCGAATACCACGAGTGAAAAAGAAGATAGGAAAGGTTCGCGTGCTCGACCGACGCGAGACTGAAGTCTTCGTGCATTACCTTGGCACGGACAAGCGCCTCGACGAATGGGTCCCCGCAGACACCGTCTGTGCAACCACTCCACCGCGGCATTCTACGTCGCCAGGCCGCAATACTGGCTCACCACCTCGTGTGAACGGTGCGGGCACACACAAACGGCGATTCTCGACATCGTCTATTCAAGCCCATGATCGAGATACAGCCCCGCCTTCCGCGGCCCCGCAAACGATGGCCTCCGCACGGCGCAACTTTGACAAGGTCAACTTTGGACCCTGGCAGATCAAAACCTGGTAAGTTTGGCTCTTCCTATACACCACCGCATCCGCATCCTTCTTTGCTGTCCCACGAGCAGTTGATTGATATCATCCTGCGCCCCCCTTTTGCTGCAGGTACTTCTCACCATATCCGCTCACGGATGGGGAGGGTGAAGACGCCCTTGGACATGGACGCACAATGGACCTTTTTGCGGGCACGGTCAATCGCGAGAACACGGGTGGGATCCTGTGGGTCTGTGATCGGTGTTTCAAATACATGGCCGACGGCACGTCGTGGGAGGTACATATGGTATGGTCTACTTTCCTGTCACCCAGCGTACGGAAGATAGGCGCGTTGACGTACTCATCCCGCGTGGGCGCGGGCGTACAGAGAAAGTGCACGCGCAGACACCCGCCTGGTAGGAAGGTGTATCAACGGGGCGCCCACACGATTTGGGAGGTGGATGGCGCGAAGGAAAAGGTGGGCATAGAGAATCATCACGCATCTGTCCTTCTCTTTTCTTATGCGAGGTGAGCAGCTGTACTGCCAGAATCTGTCGTTATTCGGAAAGTTGTTTATCGACATCAAGACGCTGTTCTTTGACTGCGATAACTGTGAGACTAGACATCCTGCTTGGGGAAATGCTGCTCATTTATACGGATAGTCCTATTCTACATCTTCACTGACGCTGATTCCCAACGAGACCACGTCCTTGGGTTCTTCTCCAAAGCGAGTGATACACACGACCTGTTTTTGTTCAAAGCCCTTATCTGACATTTCTGCAGGAAAAGGTATCCTATGATGACTACAACCTCGCCTGCATCGTGGTTCTTCCTCCGTATCAGAAGAAGGGTTATGGGATGCTGCTGATCGAATTCAGTAAGCGAACGTCTCTTGCTCTCTACAATCTTGGCTCAATCTGTCTGGTAGGCTACGAACTTTCTCGCCGCGCCGGTCGCATCGGAACTCCTGAACGTCCGCTCTCAGATCTTGGTCTACGCAGCTATCTAGCCTACTGGGTTTCTACTATCATACGCTTCCTCCGGTACGCACTTCAGCTGTCATTCGTCACCGTGGCCGACTTGCCCTTACTCTTCCACCCACAATTAGCCAGCTTCTCTCCGTGCTCCCGCCTGACGTGCCCCCAATTAAGACCGTCGGCCACCTGCCGAACCTCTCACTCGTCCGCAATGATACTGACATGACGCCCTCCTCGCAAAAGCGCACGAAGCGTACCAAGGGTTGGGATGGCGAGTCTGCCTCACCCAGCTCGCCAGAAGGTAGCAGTGCCTCGCCCGCAACGCGCGACAGTCTTAGCGTCGGCGCAGGGTCCCTAGCGCACATGCAGCTTGAAAGGACGTATGAGACGGTACCTGCACTAGACGGGAGTGCAGCGGTCCACGTCTTGGTACGCTGTACACTCGCAGACCTCGCGAGTGCGACAAACTTGCGTGTCGAGGATGCCGCGTTTGCTCTCAACGAGTGCGGATTACTCGTTCGGCGTGAGGGTGAGGGCAATACGACGACAATCGCGGTCTCGCGGGAGATGGTCGAAGCCGTCGCACGGGAACGAAATGTCAAGCGGATGTGTATCGACTTCACGAAAGTGTTGTTGTGAGAATTGCCAGTACATTCGCTATATGTATACAATCATTGCCCGAAGTACCTGTAACACTAACTTGATTCAAAGATACCCAACTTCCTAAAGGAAACCAATAATTTGTCCTATATTATGCTGTTGAGATTGGGCGGGAGCTCATCTGGCGGGCTCGACTGTCCTTGCATAGCCGCAATACGCGCTTCCCTGTTCGCTATGACGTTGCCCTTTACCCCAACATGTCCTTTCACCCAGCATAGCTGCAAAGAATAGGAACCATGACTACTTATGGATGCGAGGGAATCAACCTGTTTGTAAAACTCTCCAAGAAGTCTTTGAACACGCAGGCCGGAACTCGGGAACGTGCAGGCTCCAATTGCCTGAATGAGCTCTTTGCAGTCGGTGCTCATTGAGCGGTCCAAGGTCTTCTCGTTCGGTCGCAAGTAAATGCATACCCAATAGAAGAGCAACAACCTCGGTATCGCAAGCCGTGAATTTCCGTTCGGTAGGAAGTGAAAGGCGTAGGACGCGATCATCGCAGCCATCTCTCAGCAGGACGGCCGCGGAGCCAGCTCGTTCAGGATGGGCTGAACCGTCCGCGTAAACCCGGATCGTGTTTCTGGACTGTTCGTCCAGCAAGATGGAAGCACGTTCGTCGAAACCAGCGTTTTGAATTGTGAAAGTCGGGGACAAAGGGGGACGACAGGGGATGGCCAGGGACGAAGGGGGATGACCAGGGATGATGGGGGACGATGGGGGAGGACGAAGAGGCGAAGGGGACAATTGGGGACGATGAGGAACAACAGGGGACAGCCAGAGACGAAGGGAGATGACTGGAGGGAAAGGGGGAGCAAGGCAAAAAAAAAAGTAGTTTAAACTACAGAGGAGTCAGTGAAGTGGAAGGGTGGAGGCTACATACCTTGGGAGCACCCCTCAGGCATGAGGCATCCCAGGACCCTTCCAATGTGAAATGAATGCAAATGAGATGTTGCCGGCAGCGGCAGTGGCAAGGGTGATGGTGATGTGAAGGGAGGTCACAGGAACTTCGTCGGGAAGCGGTGGTGTTGCAGCGCCAGTTCCTGGCATCAGGAGCTCTGACAACCACAAATGTGGTGGTGCCAGTGCGATTCCGATGCCAAGGATGGCAACACACAATGCAAGCAGCTCCTCAGTGCAGAGGAAATGCAAGAGGTCAAGGCAGGAGAGGTAAAAGATGGTGGCAACTTGGTGCCATCGAGCCCAACGCGTGCTGGTGGTGGCAGTGTGTGACCGCAGTACAATTGACGAGGGTCGCATATGCGCTGCTTACTAATCCAAGCTCGGGCCTTACCGGCCGGCGTTGGCTCGGCCCATGGGGACCATGGAAAGTCCTGTTCGAGCACTTTTCCAGTTGGAGGATGCCAGTGTGTACTAGTAGCCTTGGGTAAGGTAGAGAAATGGCAAGGTGACAGGTGTGCGTAGAGATGTATAAGCCAAGTTTGTGAGATTTCGTGCCATCCTTCTGCAGAATATGGGAAATTTATCTTAGAACCAGTTACGGCCCTTATAAGCAGCGTAGATTCCTGTCCTGCCACGCTATGATTTAATCTCAGTGGCTTTGTACATGTGCCGGGGTAGCTCAGCTGGGAGAGCAACAGACTGAAGTGGATAATCCATGCTTGTTTTGGGCATTCTGGAGGTCCCGTGTTCAATCCACGGTCCTGGCATTTTTACTGGCACTAATTTTACTTTTTGTACCACTCGCAAGTCTGTCCATGTCTATCATTTTATCACTGATTGCTACAGTTAGCAAGCTCTTAGAGAGAAAATTTTGGTGGATTATCTGGCTTACAGTAAATTACAGCCTAAAATATTCCTTTACCATTCATTGAGCAGCCTTGGCAACAAAATACGAAGAAAAAATGCTTGAACCAGTAATGTGAATGTACAGTATTAGAAAACCTGTGAGCTCAGAGTGGCTGTGTACTCCCAACTTTGTGCCTTTTCCTCAACTATCCTCGACTCATGTCTGACGATTTCGAACTCGAACACGTTAATCTAAACACCCTTGGGGGTGAGGCGTCCCATGTGACTGCAACCCCTCACGATGATCAACCTACCGCCAAAGTAGTCGGCAGAGAAGCTGGATTCTCCGACGGATCTGGAGCGTTGTATTCAATCTATCTGGATGGTGCCAAAGTAGAAGACCAGAAGATGACAGAGAGCTGGAAAGGAGACGCAGATGGCATCCTTTTCTTCGTATGTAATTCCTCGGTTTTTCTACGCTTTCCTAAGTTACTCCTAGACCGGTTTGTTTTCGGCCACGGTCGCTGCATTCCTTGTCGCGGTCAATCAGAACCTCCAACAAAGTCCTCAAGATACCATCGCTTTCTACACTGCACATCTCTATCAGATCACAGCCGCCCAGGCCGGCAGCCCAAATGGACCCATCCTTCCTCTTCCCCCACCCTTTCTGATCCATCCACTTTCAAACCATCTTCGTCGTCCATTTGGGTCAATGTACTGTGGTTTCTAAGCCTTATCATCAGTCTTACATGTGCGCTTATAGCGACGTTATTGCAACAGTGGGCGCGTCGATACCTTCGGGTAACGGGGACGCGGCGTAGCCTCGACAATCGCGCTCGTGTACGTGCATACTTTGCGAAAGGGGTGGATAACCTGCATCTTCGCTGGGTAGTGGAGGCGCTGCCTGGTCTTCTCCACCTATCCGTTTTCCTATTCTTCGCCGGCCTCCCTATTTTTCTCTTCCGGATCAACCACACGGTTTTTATTGCCGTTCTATCATGCGTTGGCACCTGTGGTGCTTCGTACCTGTGCATCTCCTTCATGCCGTTGGTCTGCCACAACAGTCCGTATTACACACCACTTTCCTCACTTATTTGGTCCTGCCGTGCAGGTTTACGGTGCTTGTACCTTTGGATCATGAAGAGCTTCATATCCCATCGCCCCATAATTGGGTTAACTAGAGCTTCGACCCGGAGGATCCTCGTTTCTCGAGTGCAAGAGAGTTACGAACGGTTGCGAGGCGGCCTTACCAAACACATGGAGGAGTCAGCTCTGATATCATTCAAGGAATTCGACGTTCAAGTTCTGTCCTGGACTTTCGAACTTATGGGCGAGGAAGATAGGCTAGACCGGGTCCTTGCAGCTATTCCCGGCTTTTACAACTCCTCTTTGGCGAAGGATCAGGCTCTTAAAGAAGTGTCCGAGGAAAGGCTTACAAATGCAGTTTTCCAAGTAATGGATCGCTCCCATTCATCAGCGCAGCTCTCTCAGTCTGCGAGACAGCAGCAAAGCGACGCCTGTATGAAAGTTCTAGAAATCCGAGGCATTCCTGAACAGCAGACTGTGAAGAACTCCCTTCGTTTTATTGGGACAGGCGTCTTCAAGTGCACTGATTTAGGCCTTCTCGCGAGCTCAGTCGACGGTGACGAGGCCGATGTCGAGGTCAAGTGTGTCACTGCCCTTATCACTACTCATACTCGTGGATCCGATGAGCGTTGGTTGTCAATTATGGAGAAACTGTTAGGAAAGTCGAAGACCACCCTTTTGGGATACCGTGGGCATGGAGACAGCCTTTTACTGGCAAATCTCATCAATTTCGTGCTGTGGATGGATGGCCGTCACTTTCTAGGTCTTCAAGAGAAAGCAGTAAACGATACGTTGAATTCGTTGAACAAGTTTGACGCCAAAAACACCTTGCCTGGGCTTCGTGATGAGTTTTGCCGCCTATGGAACACAACCGTCACCGCGCAGGGAACAGGGACCGCACGTGGGAGAAGAGCACACTCAACCCTGCGCCACATCGCCCCTGTCTATCTCGCGCTGCATCGTGATGTACCTCGAGCACCTGGCGATATTTGGAATGAAGATTTGCTAAGCGCACCATCCTATCCTCGTTGTCCACATCGTCATGTTGATTCCTAGGCGGCATACCTCTAACCCAACCAAAAATGACCCCAGATTCCCTCAGCGTATTTCCATCCGACGTCACCATGTCAACTACCGAGACTTTGGAAGATGTCGGTTCTGCTTCAACCTTCCCATTTTTCGATTTGTCCACCACCTTTGTCACCGCGAATTGCCAGAACTTCTTAATTTTTTTCCCCACACGTCAACTCAGCTTGAGTCAGGCTCGACTGCAGCATGGCGACTTCTTGTCCTGTAGCCAGCCCTCACTTGAGGCGCGCTCGATATCTTCATGCCTGGACGCCTCGCAACTTGATTAATTCGAAATCTCGAGGACATCTTGTCAGTGTCGCCCGCCGACTCTGTATCCGCCCCACAGTCACCAAGACTGCCTCCTGATTCTGATATGACGGTGGTTCTTCCCTCTTCCATCGATCGGATTGGGGGCTGTTCAAGTCCAGTTACGTTAACAGTCAATCTTCAAGTGCTAGAGGGTCATCACCTACCTGTGTTTCAATCTGTCCAATTTCGGGCGTGACTATTAATGATATAAGACATTTGTTTCTCTACTGTATATCTGACTACGCATATATGTCCTGGTGCCATATAAGGGGACTTTGATAAATGAAACTAGGTAAGCCGCGTTGGTTTGAGATGTGTCAGTGGAGCGTAATGGAATCCATTCCACAAGGCAATCCAACCATCACAGAACTGAATCAAGTTTACCTACCTTTCTCTTGCTCCTTCTCCCCCAGCGATGCCTTTCTTGATTCCGGGCTCCCGTAGGTCCATGATTCTCCGTGCCTCTCCAGTAGGTGGCCCTCAGACGTAAAAACAGCATATATTAACGGTTCGACTCGTTACAGATCACTGTGCCCGCGTCTCCCTCACAATCAGAGTGCGAGTCCGCTACATCCCGCTCTCAAGCATTTCCGGACACGCCGCCTGTGTTAGATGCGGATATTTTTGATACTGTACCCTTCTCCGTATGTACCACTGAGAAGCGCAAAACGTTCGGTGCTGTCCTAATCATCTCGTCGTTGCAGGCATCGTTTTCAGCGTTTCTCAACTTCACTCCTCAGGATGACACCACACCGACTCCCGCTGATATAGCTCCAGATCCTGTCAAGGATCCCAAGCGCTTATCAAACCAGGCTGAGGCTAGCTACTACGTCGAGGTGTGTGCCCTCTGCAGTGGGCATTCAGAACGCTGATATCTGCCCAAGCAACTCACGAATATCAGAGACGTTGACTCTGAATGGGAAGATGATGAAGTTGAGGCAAGTGTATTCTGCGTTCGAGTCTCATCTTTGCTCAGGTCAGAGTTTATAGGAAGTCATGGTCATCTCACCCAAACCAAAAACGTCTCCTTTTCATGCGCTTCCCACGCCTCCCTTCAGTCCCCCGGAACCCATCCAAGACCCCTCCCCCCCCGCGGCCCCAAAAGACTCGTACACTATCTTGCGAACATTGCACCGTACCCAGACTTCTCACCTCTCTCTCGCGGTCGCCTCGGGCTGCAGGCCATCCACCAAGAAGGCTGCCCTTCGTCACGCCCTATATGCTATCCGCACATACCGCCTGCCGTTGTCCAACGCAGCGCTTGCGGAACGCGAAGCGCTGGAGGTACTCTCCATGCGTAGTCTCGGGGAAAGTCCGTACGTCCAACGCGCATCACGCTTCTGGGACGACGGCCAGACACTTTTCATCGTGCTGGAGCATTGTGGGGGGGGAAACCTGTTGGGGCTCATACAAGCCGAGGGACCCGTGGACAGCGGACGCATGAAGCAGTGGGCGTGTGAGATTGTGAGTCAAGTCTTACCCCCTCTCTCAGGGCCGTGCTCAACCTTGGTAGGTGTCGGGCATCGCGTTCATCCACAACGCCGGCGTCATACACAGCGACATCCGGCCGTCGACAATCCTCTTCCGTGTAAATGGTCATATTTGTATTAGTAACTTCGAACACGCCATCGTGATCGCCACGCGCCAAAAGGCAGCTCCCTCTATCGAAGACAGGCAACGCAGCTTACGGGCGAGCGAACGCGAGTGGTGCGAGGCCCCAGAGATGCTTTTTGGTTGGGAAATAGGACTCGAAGTTGACTGTTGGGCGTTCGGAGTTATTCTGGTATGGATGATTACCGGAAAGGTACGTCTCCCATGAACTTTCGCGCTCTGAAATGAATTGTGATGGGTGTAGCACCCCTGGTATCTAAGCACTCTAGAAAACCCTGACATAATTCGAGATTGTGTTCTTCACGGTCTCCTACCGATTGTCCCATTGGAGGTAGTTGACACGGCTGCAGAACGCTTGATCGGAAGAGTAAGCTTCCAATTGAAATCGTCGACGGAAATTCATTATTCGGAAACTCATCTAGTGTCTGGACCGCAATCCTTCCAGGAGACCGACCATCGAACAGATCAAAGAATTCGAGTGGTTTGCCGATGTGTACGTTGATGTGCTATTCGCATTGCTCCGCGTGCTGATGTCATAAAAGCAATTGGGACAACATTTCGCTGGCACGCGTCCCTGACATCCCGATCACGCTCCCCAGCCCTGACCTGACACCCGATGTGCCAGCGGATGTTCCCAGCACCATCATTGCTCCTGATCTTTCTCTCAGTACCCTAGATACAGAGATGGAAATCGAGCGAACCCTCCCATGGACTCCAGCGCGCATCAGCCGACAGATAGGGCTGGCATCTCCGGGCGCCACCACCATTGCCTCGGGCCATTCGGCCGTTCTATCGCGTGGGGATATAGTGCCGCTCGTTGCGAGACAACTGCAGCACCTGTCAC